AGACGCAAGACTAACATGCTATGACTTCTGCCTTTAGATATGAGCACAACACAAAAATTGCAAAGCAACATTTTGGCTTGAGGTTGCTTGCACCTCCAAAACTACTACTTCTGTGTATTAATAAATTTAAATAATCCCAAGCTCCAGTCTTCCTAATTTTCCAAAAGACTTATTGGCAGCACTTGCCTCTGCCTCCTATCAGCTCCCCCCATAAGTCTCCTGCCCACCTAGGCAGCCCAAACACAACCTCTCTGCCTTATAGTGCAAAGCTAGGCTTGTTTGCTCTGAATTAAGCCCCGCCTTGTTCAATGGCGATATAATTGCAGCTTTCGTTTTGCTTGATTAGGAAGCATCAGGATTTTTCTTGACCAATCAGTTCGCCTTCTCAAAGGTTCTGAAGTGTCGTGTCTGTTCCCTACTGTGATAAGAATTTTAAGGTCTTAGATATATAATAAATGTTTATAAATGTACCAGCCAAGCATGTACATAGATCAGCACAGGAAGACCGACCTGAAACCATTTTTGATTCCTAAACTGACCAAATGTTTTGTCTGCAAGGTCAAAGGAAAATGGAAAAGCCTCCCCATTGACTTTTCCTTCACAAATCCTGTCTTAAGGGTATGTCTGTGTTTGAATAGGGTGAGCCTGTGACCTGGCTCAGGAACTAAGTATTTATCATTGCAAAAGACTGGCCAGGCTCCCCAGGGTATCCAATCAAGCATTAACAGGTAACCTGTCAGATGAGATAAACAACGCACTCAGATTTCTGCTGTAGACCACCTTTTCTGTGATTTATGTATGATGTATGGAGGGGTGGTCTTGAGCTCCAGCGTAGGGAATTTAAAATGTCTATATAAGGGCAGGCACACTTTTGTTCTGGGTTCCTCCTCCTTTCCTGCATGTGAGGGGAGCACCCTGTTGCAACAGATCAATAAAGATCAAGCTTACTAGCTGCTTTGCATCTCAATATTCTCTGGTTGGCCTCTGTTATTTTCTCCTACCAATAGGGAACCTTTGTAAGGACTATATGGGCTCTTGGATACCCCATAAGGGAAAAGGGCAGATTTTTGTTTACAACACTACAAGACCAGATAGCTTCACTATCACAAACAGCCAGGGGCCGTGGCTCATTCAGAGAGGTTGCATATGTGCTTGTGCCTTTCCATAAAGAACTTGGTTTTCAACAAAACTGGATACCGCATATTTACATTCGCCATAAACAGCATCGGAGTTAATGTTAAAATCTTTTATTGGCATGAGGCATTTACCATGTACAGGCTTCGCCTGAGGCCGGCCACCCACCCACTTTGTTCTCACCCAGGTGGCGGGAGTCCATTCAGAGGCACTACAGGACCTGCCCAACGGGACCATCAATCTGGATGAACTGGAGCAGAAGATCCAGCGGGCCCACCAGAGCCAGTACCACCCCCGCCCTCAGCTCATTTGCCTCGAGAACACGCACAGCTCGGCCGGGGGAAGGGTGCTGCCCCTTAAGTACCTGCAAGAGGTGAGTACCATGAGTCATTCATCCAGACTCAGCCCAATGGACTGGGAGAACCTGGATAGCTCAGCAGGTTAGAGCGTGGTGCTGATGATGCCAAGGTCGGAGGTTCGATCCCCATATGGGACAGCTGCGTATTCCTGCATTGCAGGGGCTGGAGATGAGACGATCCTCAGTGTCCCTTTCAACCCTACGATTCTGTGACTATTTCAGAAAATTCAATAGTCTTTTCGTTGTGGTGGGTATTGTGAGCAATAGCGGCTGTAGTAGCAGGAATAACATTTTATTCATTCAAGTACTTTCGGCGTTTGTATTTATTTATCAATATTTTTAATAGCTTTGTTTATTTATACAATAAATAAAACTTTTTTTAAAAAAAAATTGCAGTGTATCTCGACTCCACCCAAAATGCATGCATGTGTAGTGGAGGGTGGAGGGTGGAGGGTTTCCCCCCACCCCCACTTTTCACCTTAATCCACACTTCCAGGATGCTTACAGTTGGCTTCCCCACCCTTATCTCGTTTCCTTCTCCCACTCCTACTGTCACCCTTAAGTTGGCACATCTACATTTGGTAAAGCCCTGGAAATTCATAGGTCCTTGTCAGGCCATTTTGGGAGGTTTTGGTCATACCTCTATACTTAGGGAGGGTATCTCTAGATATATATTGACCCTATTTTAGCGGGGGGGGGGCTCCTTGCTTTAAAAAAAACTCTTTGCAACTGCCAGGCACTGCGCCACCCAAGTTTGTTATTAGCGGAAGCGATGATGATAAAGGAAGACCCCCAACTTAGCACCCCTTGGCTGGGCTCAAGGACACTGAGCAATCTCCTCTTTTCATAGGAGCCTGCCTGATACCAGCAGTAACTCCAGTAACCTGCAATGCCCCTAAGAAAGGCCACCAGCTCTGGGACGTCTTCCCCTCTGCCTGTCGCAAGCCAGGCTTCCTCAACCTCGGTCCTCCAGATGCTTTGAGACTTCAATTCCCATCATCCCTGACCACTGGTCCTGCTAGCTAGGGATGATGGGGGTTGTAGGCCAAAAACACCTGGAGGACCGAGGTTGAGGAAGCCCGCTTTAAGTTGTTGGCTGAGCTCCATTCTCTACACAGGTGCACCACGTAGCCCAGCGATACGGGCTGCGGATTCACATGGATGGCGCCAGGGTGCTTAACGCCGCCGTGGCCTTGGGAGTGCCGCCGGCTCATATCTCGCAGCACTGCAACTCCATCTCCCTGTGCCTCTCGAAGGTAGGTGGTTTCTGCTGTGGCTCTGAACAGGGTGGATTTCGGGGAAGAGTGCAAGCACGGTACCTGCAAGACTCACCTAACCGTGGGGACTTAGGAAGCTGAGCCAGACCGCTCCTCCATCCAGCTCAGTATTGCCTACGCTGACTGGCAGCGGCTCCCCAGGATTCCAGAAAGGGGCCCCTCCCAGCCTTACCTGGGGACTGAGCCTAAGACCATCCACCTGCAAAGCAGAACTGCAATCCTTCCCTGGCAACGTGTTTGAAACCTCTGTGATCCGTCCTTGGATTTGCAGCAGAAATCAGCAGGATTCAAACGAAGCTAGATAGAGGCTAGTGGAAGGGGCTGTGCAAGAGCTTCTCCACGCAGAGTCCCCAGATGGGGGGCCGAGAGGTTTGGGATTGTCCATAGCCTCCACACTGGCTAACCCCATCTTTTCTCTTTTCGATGACACAGGGTGTGGGAGCACCAGCCGGGGCACTTCTGGCTGGAAGCGAAGAGCTGATTGCCGAAGCCTGGCGCGTGCGGAAGCTCCTTGGGGGTGGGATGCGCCAGGCAGGGGTCCTGGCAGCCGCTGGCCTGGTTGGGTTGAGCCGTGTGGAGGAGACGCTGAAGAGGGATCATCACAATGCCAGACACTTCGCCCAAGGTGCCTGTTCTGTGAGGCTGAAGGAGGGATTGATAATGCTTAACCTCTGCTGGGGGGACGCGGGTGGCGCTGTGGATTAAACCACAGAGCCTAGGACTTGCCGATCAGAAGGTCGGCGGTTCGAATCCCCGCAACGGGGTGAGCTCCCGTTGCTCGGTCCCTGTTCCTGCCAACCTAGCAATTCGAAAGCACGTCAAGGTGCAAGTAGATAAATAGGTACCGCTCCAGCGGGAAGGTAAACGGCGTTTCCGGGTGCTGCTCTGGTTCGCCAGAAGCGGCTTAGTCATGCTGGCCACATGTCTGTGGACAAACGCCGGCTCCCTCGGCCTATAGAGCGAGATGAGCGCTGCAACCCCAGAGTCGTCCGCCACCAGGCCTAATGGTCAGGAGTACCTTTACCTTTACCCTCTGCTGGGCGATCGAGGCTCACCACCCCTTCGCTGACACAGGGTGCCCCCTTGAGCCAAGGCTCGGAGGGTAGATTTCTCCAGCTCCTCCTATGCTGGGGTCAGCTTTCAGTTCAGATTTCAGCAGGCCAGCCCTCCCTGGTAGTGAGTGAGGATCTCTCCCTATTCCCTATCCACCCACCCATTTATCCTGTGGTTCGATAACTTATCCCCGCGCCCCATTTTAAACCTCAAAGTGTTTTCCCTTTATAGGTGCCTTTGCCCTGGGCTCGCCTCTCTGCTCCGTAAACCCCGCCACCGTGGAGACCAACATCGTCATGGCAACCGTCTCGGCTCCCGGGCTGACCCCAGCCAAGCTGTGTGAGCTGATGGAGGCCGTGAGTGAGGAGGAGGTGGCCGCCATAGGCCAAGCCGTCAGCGTGAGGCTTTTCCCGTGGGGCGAGCATCGCCTGCGCGCCGTCTGGCACTGCGACGTCTCCCTCCGAGACACGCAGCTGGCTGAGGGCAAGTGGCGCTTTGTCCTGGGCAAGTGGGAACAGCAAAGCGCTGGTGTACCCTGAAGCCAGTCTGGCGGGCTGGAAGCCAAGTTGGCGCGCAGGACGTCAGTCCGAAACAAGCCAGGGCGTGCCAAGAAGGCAAGCCTGTGATTGGTCAGCCCTGGCCTAGCTAAAGACGTGGTCCCCATGGCCTCAGCCCTATCTGGCTCTACAGAGGAGAGAAGCGGACTTCAGCTTCCCAAGCCACCTGCTATGGGGAAACAGCAGTGGGAGAGCCTGCCTGTTTCCAGGAGCGGCTCTGGCAGCTAACAGATTCTGTTGCCAGACCAAAGGAGCTGCATCACTTCATGGCCTTGCAGGAAACGGTCCCAACATGGCTTCCACACACCCACCCCACAGCCTTCCTGCATCCTGAGGGAATGGGGAGGGAGCTTTGTTTCCCAGGGATGCTCTGCTCCTGTTCTGTTCAGGCTAAGGGATACCTGCCAGCTACGACCTGTAGCTTTAAGAAAAGGAGCCTGAGCTTGCTTTTTTATTTTTCCTCCTCCCTCCCATTCCCTTTTACCTTGTGTGCCACGTCTTTTTGATTATAACCCTGAAGGCAAGGGCTGCCTTAAGACTGATTTCTGTAAGCTGCTCTGGGAGCATTTTTCCAGCTGTAGGAGACGGGTAGAAATCCTTTGACTAAATAAATGGCACCTCTTCCTACCGGAGCCCTTTTTAATTCAAGAGGCCCCAGATGCATCAAGGAGGACCAGCAGAGGGGCATGCTTGGAAGGGAAGGAGCATCAGCTATGCATACCAAGAAACAGGGAGAAGGAGCCATGGATCCTTCAGGTGTTGAGTTAGAACAGGGATGGGGAGCTAGTCCAGATGTTGCTGGACTACAGCTCCCATCACCCCAGGCCCATTGGCCATGCTGGCTGGGGCTGATGGAAACTGGAGTCCAGAAACATCTGGATGGGTCACACAGGCCTCCTACCCTTGGGTGAGGAACAAGGCCCTAGCTGTTTCTCTTCCTCAGCTCTGCTTGCACACCAAGAGTTGAGTAATGAACCCAGCATGTAAGGATGGCAACCGCTGCGCCTTATCGATGGGGGTCCCTCGCCCCTTCCACATGCATCCCTCAGCCTGGCACACCCACAAGCAGATCTTTGTAACGCCTTGCGGTCCATGCAGGTTACGTCTTGTGGCTGCACGACAAGAGGGGGATCGGCAGCAGTGGAATTTTCACCCCAAGAAGGCCAATCAAGCAGAGTAGGGTTACGTCACAGCCCTGACCATGCATCAGATGAACACCGCACAGGCATCCGGCTTCAGGCGGAGCCCCCGAGCGGCCAGGAGAAGCAGGATGCCGGCCAACCCCTCGGTGCTGAAAGAGAGCCAGGCAAGGGCCAGGGACCAGCCAAAGGCGATGCGGACGTGCTCAAAGCGCTGCTGGTCAAACATGCGCACTGTCTCGGCGAAGGCTGCGCTGGAGTAGCAGATGTAGGTGCTGGTTCCCGACAGGGTCAGCAGTGCTGGGGGGAAGGGGAAAGGGGACGGGTCAGTGCCAGTCCTGTAGCAGACACTGCCCCCAATCAGGGCTCATGCCATGCTGCTCCTAACCGTGATAACTCAAAGGAGCATCCCAGTATGTTTCCGAGCACAGTTCAAAGTGTTGGTGCTGACCTTTAAAGCCCTAAATGGCCTCGGTCCTGTATACCTGAAGGAGTGTCTCCACCTCCATCGCTCGGCCCAGACACTGAGGTCCAGCGCCGAGGGCCTTCTGGCGGTTCCCTCACTGCAAGAAGCCAAGTTACAGGGAACCAGGCAGGGGGCTTCTCGGTAGTGGCACCCACCCTGTGGAACGCCCTCCCACCAGATGTCAAAGAGAAAAATAACTACCAAACTTTTAGAAGACATCTGAAGGCAGCCCTGTTTAGGGAAGCTTTTAATGTTTAATAGGTTATTGTATTTTAGTGTTTTGTTGGAAGCCGCCCAGAGTGGCTGGGGAAACCCAGCCAGATGGGCGGGGTATAAATAATAAATTATTATTATTATTAGTCAGAGGCAGTAGGGTAAATATTATTGTTGCGAATCATCATCACAATTAAAATAGCTGGATTTATTCACATGATGGATGCTCCAAATAATATTGAATGATACAGGATTCTCATGTTTTTTTTAGTGGGGTGCGATTGAATCTATATGCAGATTTGGCTCATTAACCTGGGAAGGTAGCCCTAATAATTATAATGTTTATCATTTACACACCATCCACCTGGCTGGGCTTCCCCAGCCACTCTGGGCAGCTCCCAACAGAATATTAAAAACACAATAAAACATCAAACATTAAAAACTTCCCCAAACAGGGTTGCCTTCAGATGTCTTCTAAAAATCAGATAGTTGTTTATTTCCTTGCCATCTGGTGGGAGGGTGTTCCACAGGGCGGGCCCCACTACAGAGAAGGCCCCTCTAGGAAAAGGATAACTCTTGATGCTAAACCTCTGCTGCTTTCACATCACCTGACCCTTTTAATGGGAGAGGCCAGTGGCTGCATCTGGGACACCCTCATTTGTCCTACCACTGAGCTAGGGCTCCCCAACCTCCACATGTCTTGTAAGACAGAGCTGTGTTAACAATAAAACATCATCAGGAATCCAGTCTGCAGTCAGTTCTCGAACAAGTGGCATGAAGGATAGCAAGTAGAGATTAGCTTTTGTATCTACTTGACCGTCAGACCACCCATGGGGCCTGCAAGGAGAGCGGTTCCACCAGCCAAAGAACTTTCCTTGTCCCAGTGTAAGTCAGCTTGGATCAAGTGCTAATCCCCGGCGCTTGCAAAGCAGAGATGAAGGACCTGTGGCCCTTCAGGTGTGCTTGGACTTCAGTTCCCATCTTAGTGGCTGGGGGCTGGCAAGAGTTGGAAACCAACAGGTGTTAGAATTCCTGCTCCGTGATTGCAGTCATGGGATTGTTGTCCATCACATGACGGTATATGTTTTGACTCCACAGAGTAGGAAGTGACGGAGACAGGATGTTTGTATTACTGTGTTCTGTGAAGTAGGACTATTGTCCTTTGTTCTTTTTCTCTTTGCTGTCTGATGCTAGAGAGAGGGAGCCATGTTGCAGTGCTCCCTCTGTGTGTGTTTATATGTAAATAAAGTAGATTAGCCAAAACGCTGAGTTGCTGAGGTCTGTTACGCATGATGCGAAGACTGTGCGGATCCCTAAGTGTGCCGATGTCTGTTGGCATCAGTCGCTGTGATGTTCGGGCTGGAGAAAGCTTTTGAAGCTCCTGAACGATCGACTAGGAGGGAGAGAACATGCCAGTTGGGCATGTGTCTCTACCAGGGTCCCACTCGAGTGTAGGCTGAGCTCCTAACATCAGGTCCCCCCATCCCTTCTGCAAAGGATTCTGGGTAGGCTCCTCTGCTGTTGTGAGCAGTCAAGAGTCCTGCTTTTTCTGCCTTCAAGGAAGGGGAAAGGCAGTGAGGACAGGTCAGGAGTCGATGATGAGACAATATGTGGTTTCCGTGGCACCAAGACCACAGCACACTCGTTTGCACCTTGGTCTCCCCAAGGGGCAGCTGTGACCTGATGGCACTAAGACAGAATCTGCTAAGTATTCCCTGAGAGCAAGTGTTTAATGACATTTTGCCATGTTGCGGGGGGTGGGGAGAGAGAGACTGATAAAGAAAGAAAACCTGGTTTCCCCCCCCCCTCCAAAGACATAGCTTCACTCACCACCCAGCAGAAAATAGAAGCCTGTGAAGAGCAAAAGACGGGAGCTCTGGACCAAGGAACCGATGACCCCACAGATCCAGCCAAAGACGATCAAGACGAGGCTGAGAGGCAGCAGGACCACAAAGGCTCGATGCATGGCTGGCAGAGAGACAGAAGAGGGGGACATCCAATGGAGGGGGAAAGCAGGGTGGTGTATTCGAGAATAGGTGAATGCAGCTTTACAGATGACCCTAGAGGTCACTGGGTCCAACCGCTGGGCAATCCAGGGACCCTATTGCTACAGCATCCCCGATAGGTGGTCATCCAGCTTCTGCTTTTTAAAAGCCTCTGATGGAGAGCCTCCCACCTTTCTGTTTCCTCCCCGTGACATTTTATTTCAAGAAACAAATCGCCCTGCTCGCACCTCCAAAGCAATGCTCGTCTTCAACCATAATCTGATTTACAGAAGGGCCTCCGGAGATAAAGGCTGGGTTCACACTCCCGCTTACTGTGCACCTACTGCTTTTCCAGTGCCGGGTATTTAATCCATATTCACACATTATCTAAAACAGGCATTAATCCTGTTACAAAATACCACTGTCGGGTGCAGCTGTTTCTCAAACCATCTTCACACAGATTAATGTCCTTAAACTCTGCCTGGTTGGTCTATGGCCAAGGTGTGGACACTTTTGCCTAGGGTAAAGACGAAGGGGAGGGGGGACCAGCTTCACTGACCACTAAGGTGGCACAGTGAACACACTCTGAGACTCAACACCAGTGGTGCAACTCGAGGTGCCCCCAAATGACCACTCTTAAGTGTGGCAGATGATGGCAGCAAACAGGCCCAGCACCAGCACCTGGGACTCATCCTGGCCACCACACCATCCTTTCTTGCTGCTGCTGCTGCTGCTACTTTTTATCATCATTAAAAACATTTTATAGCCAGGGGTGAGCTGACCAGGCATGTACAGGGTTACAGATACTAATTTTATTATTTTTTTCTTTAAAAAAACATGCGATCCATTTCTACCACAAAATGGGATTTATTCCCACTTAAATGTGTTCAGCCAATGCAGGCTCTGTATCATCCCTGTAGTCAAGACGGTCCTATGACCCAAGTGAGTTTAAAATGTGAAGCTGTATATGCTCAGAGTGTATTTTCTTAAATTGGAGTTGGAGAATGTTTGCATTCCTTTTTAATTTGTTTGCTTTGCTCTAACATGGAGCAGTTGTAGAGCATGGAATAGTGATGGGAACAGAGAATATAAAGGTTGATTTTGTGCTTCATGACTGAACCCTGTTGGATCGGGCAAAAAGGCCTTCTAGTCCCAGTATCCTATTCTCACTGGATAAGCAGATACTTATGAGAAGGCCACGAGTGCAACAGGGCACTTACCACTTGGGATTCCCAGCAGCTGGGTTTTCAGAGGCATATGGCCTTCAACAGAGTGGACAGAACATTGCCATCATAGCTAATGACCATTAACAGCCTTTCGTCCATGGGTTTGTCTAATCCTCTTTAAAGCTGACCAATTTGGTGGCCATTCCTACATCAGTCAATGTGGTAACACACACACAGAGCCATCTAAAAGGATCCCCCCTATAGCCACAAAGTCCAGGGTCCAAAATTACCCAACTTCATCACGCCACCCCCACCCCAAGAACACACTTCCAAACTCCATCTTGCTATACAGAAATTCTCACCACCATCCAAAAGCCTGAGCCCACATTAGGCTGCCTACTCACATATAAGATGCTGGAGCGATGCGGGAACTTGCCAACTCTCTGTGCCGAACGGGTCTATCAGAGGCGTGCAGGCGTTCTGCCCTGGGGGGAAGTGACAAGGAGAGGAACAGCATCAAAGGATGATCAGAGATCCAGCCACAGAATTTGCCATTCCAAAATGCTGCCTCCCACCTTCAGCAGTGCTAACCTAGACAGGAATCTTTACATCTCCAACACATAATATATCTGGGACCTTGAACAGACAAGAGAGGTGGAGCTAACTGGGTTGAGGTTGATTACCATGGGACTCCTCTTATTAAGCCCAGAGCCTTTCTTGTCAATAAGATGGGGTGGTGGGAGAGCACAGTGGTGGCTGGTGCCCATTGACACAGGTGGGGTGGTAGGCAGCGAGATCAACAGTAGATGGAGCCTGAGCCAATGACAAAATCAACTACCGTATTTTTCGCTCCATAAGACACACCTGACCATAAGACGCACCTAGTTTTTAGAGGGGGAAAGCAAGGAAAAAAATATTCTGCGCAGAGCATGTAAGCGGCTCTTGCTTTAAACCCTTCTGTCCCTCCTCCCGCTTCGCTGAGAAGCCAGCAGAGCAAACTGTGCAGCTCTTGCTGAAGCCAGCAGAGCAAGAGCGATGGCTGCGCAGCACCTCTTGTTCTGCTGGCTTCCCAGCAAAGCGGGATGAGGGATGAAAGGGAGCCCTTACAAGGGAGCGTTGAGCAGAGCCTGGCAGCGGCTCTTGCTTACTTTTCCAGGAGGTGTGGAAAGGGACAGAGGGCAGCCCGTCAGTCCCTTCTCCCTTCTCGGGGAAAAGCCCCCGAAAGCTGCACACACGCTCCGTGCGGCTCTTTAAAGGGAGCGCTGAGCAGAGCCTCCTGCCTGCATTCGCTCCATAAGACGCACACACATTTCCCCTTACTTTTTAGGAGGGAAAAGGTGCGTCTTATGGAGCAAAAAATACGGTGATTCTAGTTTTTGCCCCATCCTCTTTCCTGCTGAGTTCTCCAAGGACAATGTAGACGGAGGAGGAGGAGGAAGCTGAAAGCCAGTACCATCCCCTGGACTGCCTGTAAGTAAAAAAGCCAAGGCAGGTGTGGCGCTGTCTGGGGGAAGTTGGTGGGGCAGGGCCCCATTTGCCCTAAAGGACCGGTCTCCACTGGGTGAGCAAATCAAAGCAGCTGGCCGACCTGCCTCACACTCATTTCTCCCCTATGACATTGCCACAGCAGCTCCTTCATTCCCCTCTCTGATTTGTATCCATCCAAGGTACCTGAATTATCACTTTTTTGCAATGGAGGAGTAAGAACTGGGGCTAGGAAGTGCACTCTTCAGGTGTGGGGTGGAACTAGCAACTTGAAAACTTCTGATGGTCTTCGCACAGCACATACTGGTAATTATTTTTCTGCCTGTTTAAGTAATTGCAATGTGTTGTGCTGTATGGTTTTTAATTTTAATTGTTTTTTTTAAAAAACATTGCTTCTTCTATGTCTACAAGTTCAGGCTGCAATGCAATAAAATGCCTACAGTATAAGAAAAAGAGGCAATAAAGAAGCAAAGACCAGTATGAATGGACCACCTGAATGAATCTCACGGACCATTGTTTGGGAGCCCTCGCTCTATAGGCCTGGAGGACTTTGAACCTTTCCTTTCCTCCCAATAGGGCAAACTGGTGTTCACGCACAGCAGAGGATTCCCAAAAGGTTCCAAAATCCCAGAACCAAACAGCTTGAGAATGACAGGAATTGAACTTGACAGAGAGGAAAATTCCAGCCTCAGCTGTATGGTTGTAAATGTACTGTACTTCTGGACTGTTGCTATTTGTGGGTCGGATTCAAATCACATTCCAACCAATTCAGCCTGTGCAATTTAAGGGCAAATCAACACCATACATTTAAAGCACATGGCACACACACACACCTACCTTCGCAAGAATCCCAGAAACTTTACTTTCCCCCTACGAAGCTACAATTCCCAGCCCCATTAACAAACTATAGTTCCCGCAAAACTGACCTTTTGCGACAAGGAAAGTGTGGGGTGGGGGAGTAGGACACACTGGAACATGGGAGTAGCCAGAATTTATTGGGGGGACGGGCTCTATGGGGGTGGGGGCAAGAACCGAGTTATCAGCGATGCAGTTGGTCAGTTAGTTAAGTATTTTTATTTATTTACTTGATTTGGGGGAGAGCAGCTGCCCCGCCCCCCCCCCCCGCCTAAGTCCATGCACTGGAAAATGTGGAAAAACAACGGCTTGATTCTAGGACTCCCGCAAAACAAATCAGGATGGCTGTTCGGTAAACAGGTGGCGTGGGAGCGACCTCGGAGAGAGCACAGCTCAGATGACAGCAGCAGGCTCTACTCCGCCCGCCCCCGGCTGTGATTTATTTAGCAGGGGGCACATCCACATGAGCCCAGAGGTGCATCAACACCCAGGGGTGTCAGAACTCCTGATGGGCGCCAGAGCGTGAAAGCAAACATTCGATGCGTCCCTCTGACATTTCATATCTTTGATGGAAGTTCAATCGGCTCTCTCTTTTGAACAGAGAGCTGAAGAAAGCGCTGCCTCTGCTTCCCCCTCCCCTTTCCTCCTCTCTGACACCCCAGCCCTCCTTTCTCTCCAGGAGGGCGGATTCTTGGCTGCAATCCAGTTCTTTCCTTCTTTAATCTCTTCCCCCCACCCTCGGCCCCAGCACAGAAAGTTATAAATGCGTGAAAATCCGTGAACGTTAAAGCACCACCGGGATGGCTGAAATTCTTCGATTGCCAGCAAAAGGGGATGGAACAATTCCAGCTCGCGTTAACCTTATACCAGGATACTGCGATTATAAGGCACCGGGATCCCTTCTCCCCACCCCCAAATGTATACACAAACCAGGGAGTACAGCTAGTTGCAGGTGAGCGTCGGGATAGCCCAGGTGGGTAGGAGAGCAGGGGCTTGGGGAAAGGGCAGCCAGAGCACCTGCTTTGCATGCAGATGGTCCCAGGATCAATCCACGGCATCTCCAGGGACGACCTCGAGGGCTGCTGCCGGCCAGTGTTGGCAATACTGACCTAGGCGGACTAGAAATGCAGCGTCCTATCTTCCTAAACAAACGGGTGAAGCAGAATCAAGACGTCTCCAGGACGCAGAGATTTGAGTAGGGCAGAGGAATGCCGGCTGCCACAACTACTCACCACCAAGCGATCCATTTTGTGACCCGACGGCGATTCCTCCGTTAACAGAAAGTTTTTTCACGACTACTGAAACCGGCAGATCCAAGCCTAAGCTCGTGTATAGGTTTTTATTTTTGTGGGGTGGGGGGCGCTCGACCCCCGACGCGATTCACTTTGGATCCCAGAAAAAGCACCCTCCCCTCCGGATCCCAGTGGCCAGGGGAGCGCGGGCTGCTCCCGTCGCGAACCCGAGGAAAGAAGGCGCGCGCGGCGCATCCCTACCTTCGCAGAGGCGCCAGAGTCCGGAGTGGGAACTCAGCTGCTCGGCGTCCCCAGCGCTGCTGTTGGCCGAGTCCACGCTCACCAGGTACCAGTAATCGGTGCCCAGGGCCGCGGCCAAGAAGCCGAAGCTGAAGAGCCCGCTGAGCGCCGCGCCCAGGCAGAGCGCGCCGGGAGGCACCACCGCCAGGGCCCGGCGGCAGCCGCAGCACCTCGCCACCATCCCGCCGCCGACGCTGCTGCCTCTGGCGGCGGACACGTGGAGAGAAACAGCGGCAGCCGAGCGGGAGACTCTCCCTTTCTCACTGCAACGCTCCGGGGAGGGGGCGAGGGAGAGAGTCAGGTGGAAACGCGCGCGCGCCCCCCAAGCCGCATCTTCGCGGGGGTTGGGGGCGAAGCCAGCGGGTACTTGCGCCCCAAATTGGAGCGATCGCAAAAAGCCACCCTGCCAGCAGCAAGCTTCAAGGTCAAAGGCTCCCTTCGAGGAAGCTGCGATCCGCTTTCCAATTAAGTCATAGAATCATAGAATCATAGAGTTGGAAGAGACCACAAGGGCCATCGAGTCCAACCCCCTGCCAAGCAGGAAACACCATCAGAGCACTCCTGACATATGGTTGTCAAGCCTCTGCTTAAAGACCTCCAAAGAAGGAGACTCCACCACACTCCTTGGCAGCAAATTCCACTGTCGAACAGCTCTTACTGTCAGGAAGTTCTTCCTAATGTTTAGGTGGAATCTTCTTTCTTGTAGTTTGGATCCATTGCTCCGTGTCCGCTTCTCTGGAGCAGCAGAAAACAGCCTTTCTCCCTCCTCTATGTGACATCCTTTTATATATTTGAACATGGCTATCATATCACCCCTTAACCTCCTCTTCTCCAGGCTAAACATGCCCAGCTCCCTTAGCCGTTCCTCATAAGGCATCGTTTCCAGGCCTTTGACCATTTTGGTTGCCCTCCTCTGGACACGTTCCAGTTTGTCAGTGTCCTTCTTGAACTGTGGTGCCCAAAACTGGACACAGTACTCCAGGTGAGGTCTGACCAGAGCAGAATACAGTGGCACTATTACTTCCCTGGATCTAGATACTATACTCCTATTGATGCAGCCCAGAATTGCATTGGCATTTTTAGCTGCCGCGTCACACTGTTGGCTCATGTCAAGTTTGTGGTCAACCAAGACTCCTAGATCCTTTTCACATGTACTGCTCTCAAGCCAGATGTCACCCATCTTGTATTTGTGCCTCTCATTTTTTTTGCCCAAGTGCAATACTTTACATTTCTCCCTGTTAAAATTCATCTTGTTTGTTTTGGCCCAGTTCTCTAATCTGTCAAGGTCGTTTTGAAGTGTGATCCTGTCCTCTGGGGTGTTAGCCACCCCTCCCAGTTTGGTGTCATCTGCAAATTTGATCAGGATGCCCTTGAGTCCATCATCCAAGTCGTTGATAAAGATGTTGAATAAGACCGGGCCCAAGACAGAACCCTGTGGCACCCCACTAGTCACTCTTCTCCAGGATGAAGAGGAACCATTGATGAGCACCCTTTGGGTTCGGTCAGTCAGCCAGTTACAAATCCACTGCGTGGTAGCATAGTCAAGACCGCATTTTACCAGCTTCTTTACAAGAATATCATGGGGCACCTTGTCAAATGCCTTGCTGAAATCAAGGTAGACTACATCCACTGCGTTCCCTTCATCTACCAGGCTTGTAATTCTGTCAAAAAACGAGATCAGGTTAGTCTGACATGACTTATTTTTCAGAAATCCATGCTGACTATTGGTGATCACAGCATTCCTTTCTAGGTGCTCACAGACTGTTTGCTTAATGATCTGCTCCAGAATCTTCCCTGGTATTGATGTCAGACTGACTGGGCGGTAATTATTTGGGTCCTCTCTTTTCCCCTTTTTGAAAATAGGGACAACATTTGCCCTCCTCCAGTCTGCCGGGACTTCGCCTGTTCTCCAGGAATTCTCAAAGATGACTGCCAGTGGTTCTGAAATCACATCTGCCAGTTCTTTTAATACTCTTGGATGCAGTTCATCTGGCCCTGGAGACTTGAATACATCTAGACTAGCCAAGTATTCTTGTACTATCTCCTTAGTTATTCTGGGCTGTGTTTCCTCTGCTGAATCATTTGCTCCAAATTCTTCAGGTCGGGCATTGTTTTCTTTATCGGAGAAGACTGAGGCAAAGAAGGCATTGAGGAGTTCAGCCCTTTCTGTGTCCCGTTTGCATTTCACCATCTTCTCCTCTGAGTGACCCCACGGTTTCTTTGTTCTTCCTTTTGCTACGAACATACCCATAAAAGCCTTTTTTGTTGCTTTTAACCTCTCTAGCAAGCCTGAGTTCATTTTAACCTCGTGCCCCCGCCCCTCAGGCTCAGTTCAGTGGGAGGTGGATCCCCCGGGCCTCTTGTCCCTTAGAGGGCGCCTCTCATCATCCCGCCATTCTGAGAGCAGGGAGGGCGACTTTCCCCCGTGTTTGCTTTCCCGCTCAGGAAAGCGCGTGCGCGCGGCCCCGGCTGGACTTGCAGCTCCTCTGGTGAGCGAGGTTTAAACCAGAAGCAGGCGCTCCTTCTTGGACGGATGCCTGGAAGACCCCGAGGTCTCATCCTTTCCTTCCCCTGCAGAGACCAGCCACGTCCCTCAGCTTTGCTTCTCAAAAGAGCCGGTCTACTACATCTCCTAGCTGCATGGGAGAGGTTGAGTCACTGGCTATGAGAGGATGGGAGAGCAGCTGCTAGTTGGTGTAGGCAGTACTGGTCTAGATGGGCTAATGGCCCTACTCCTATGGTTCCCCCCGCCCCCCCGGAGCCCCCAACTGGAGTGGATTTCAGAATGAAAGAGGCAAGCCACTGTGCTTAAAGAGGTGCTGCTTGTTACTCCTTTGGTTTTTTGCCTGCCCTTCTGCCAGGGCACCAGAGAAGGCCTTCCCCCTCCATTCCTAGGCACTCACAACAAGCCTGTGAGGGCAGGCTGAGAGTGACTGGCGAGCTTCATGGCTAACATAAATGAGAACCTGCAACCAACACAACACTCTCATATAAGAGCTAAGCTGGGCGTTTAAAACAAACAACGCCTAGACAGAGCTCTGATAGTAAATCAAAATAATAAGAGACAGCTGGGGAAAGAGCTTTTGATGAGTATAAGGGTTTTTTTGTACAGCGGGTGGGGTTAGTAAGCGACAATACCATCAGCTTTGGAGTTAACACAGAATGTGAAGACGTTGGATATCGTTAAGTGACCTGGTGGTAAGCTTTATGTTCGCCAACATTTTTTTATTTTAAATTGTTAATTGTAGAGCTGTCAGTTAAAGTGTTGTTGGCACCTGTCTCTCTCTAGAGACAATCGCAAGCCTGGGCAGTGCGTATGGAGGTCCTGGGCTGTCCAGACAAGACCTCCCCCCCCCCTCAGCGTCTCTGATGTAGTCCAAAGGAAAACAGAGCAATACTTTTGGCACCAGCTTGGCTGCCGGTGTTGCTGGAAGGAGACATGCAAGGCACCATACAACCGTCCTAGGGAATACACTCCGGATTTGTGTAGGGTTTACTCCTTAGCCCACAGGTTTTCAACCTTTTTGGGTCCACAGCTCCCTTGACCAACTGCATTCTTTCTGCAGCACCCCTGTGGGGCTCAGAAGCCCAGTTATGTCACCCTTGCCTGCAGAGCCAGCAGCCTCTCACCCCTTTTTGAACACCCTCCTTGTGGTGTTCCCTCAGCCTTCTCTCTTTTCCTTGGGAGTCTTCTGGGCAGCCGCAGCCTCTGGTCTCTGAGCTGCACGCCCTGTCCCAAAGAGAGGTGCCCCCTCACGCTGTCCCACAGGGGCCTGGGAAGCACCCCATGGCCAGCTCCCAAGGAACCATTCACTTGGGGAGCTTGTAGCCAGGGCTGCTGCAACAAACAGCTGTGCGAGCCTTTAGGAGGCAGAGATGTGAGGGCATCAGAGGAAGGAGGTAAAGTAAGGTAAGGTAAGATGCGAACCAAAACACCTCAAAACTATTTACTTTTTTAAAAAAAAATTCGATTTCAGGAGACTTTTGAAGGACTATAGTGACTGCTGGACAAATTCATATGTATGCAATACTTGTAATATGCAATGATAGCACTGTAAGTTTTTTAAAAATGAAGAAAAAAGAAAATCATTAGTCCTGGTGGCCCCAATGAAAACATCTGCAAATGTATTGGATCCATTAGTGTGAAGATTCCAATTTAAGTGCAAATCATTCTCTCTTTTTTCAGTTATGTTTGTGCATAAACATCATGTTACAAGTAAAAACAGAACAAGGTGTGCATGGCAAAGGAGAAGTGCACATCACACTTCATTTCTTGAAAACACAGACTTTATTTTTCTGTATTAAAATTGTTATGGATTTTGTAATTTTATATATATAACATAAGATTATAATCACAGCATTTTTTGTGTAATTCATTCTTGTGCCTATGGGGGAATAAGTGCAAATGAATAAAAAAACCACCAGTAGTACTGTACTGCACATCCTTTTTAGGCACCTTCTCTGTCATGACCATTTTGAGTTAAAACTACCAGATTTGCATACCATATATTTGGTACTCCCTGCCCCCGCCTCATCCTAATAATTCACAGTAATGATGTTTTCACTGAGCTTTTTAATATGACATTAACATTACTATGACATTCCAGTTAAATTAGACTACCTTAGTGAATCTATATATTTGGCATTATTGTCCTAATGTGCAGGATAACCCACAGAAATCAGTGGAGAGCTGCAGATATCTTCATTCAGCCCTTAAGTGCAACTTGACCAGAGCCACAGGTGTGAATGCAGGAATGCAGTCGAGAGGCCTTTGGGTCTTGTCCAAGTTCCAAACAGCCCTGCCTCAGGAGCTACCACAGCATAGTACCCTGATCCTAACCATATTAGGGAAGACACACTTGGGACTTGCTTATGAGTAAACAGACAGAGGTTGATGGGCTTTTTCTCGTTGTAATGCACCCCCCCATAAAAAAACACCCCAGAAATTTTGTTCAGTGGCTGTTGGAACAGAACAAGAGTGGGTGTTTGAAGAGAAAAAGGATAGTTGAGCTGCTGCTGCTGGGTGTAAGAGCATTTAGGGTCAGTTTGTTTTGTTCATATACAGCAGTTGCAAAGAGAAGGTATTTTGTAAACATCGGAGAATGCTTCCCCTCCCCTCCACCGGCAGACTGCAAAGCAACGTTTCACTTTCTATTCATATTACATGTTTTGCTAGAGGAAGAGAGGCAAATGTTTACTTCGCCAGTAAATTAAAGGGACTGATTGGCATGTTTAAGCCTCATTGTATTCAATGGAGATAGTACACTGGGAACATTACATACGCAACAATTCAATTGCATTACGTGTCTTCTCAGCACGTTTTTCCAGGTCGTTAATTTTCTGGTTAATTTCCTTTCTCTAGGAGAAAAACAGAAAGGAAGTCCTGTTAGTAACTAATGAAAAGCAAAGTGTTTGAGCTGTAAAGTGGAATACAAGAGGAGGGCTTTGCTGCAGGTAGGGGTGGGCAGTGGCTATTCACTTTGAGAAGCAAGCAGGAAAACCATACAACAGCAGGGAAAGCCAAACTGATCTCACAGTTGCAGCCAAACCAGTGAAGAACACTATCCTCAAATCAAGGCGGTTCTATGGGCAAGAGACTATGTATGATCTGGTGTGGAGGAGGGCGGGGTGCTAAATGACCATTTTGAAACTGTAGGGCAAGGTTTCCCAAACTTGAGTCCCCAGCTGTTTTTGGACTACAGTCCCCATATTCCCTGACCCCTGGTCCTGATAGCTAGGGATGGTGGAAGTTGTAGTCCAAAAACAGCTGGAGACCCAATTTTGGGAAACACTGTTGTAGGGAGAACAGGAGAGCAGGAAAAGCTAGACTACATTCACAGCTCCCTGCAAACCATACTTACGACCAAGGCCTTCATTCTCTCTTTGCAAAGTCTCATAAACTCTTGCAGTGTCAAGTCCTTAATATCTTTCTGGAGAGCCAGAAATGCACAGTTGGGGGAGTGTTTCCGGTGCTCTTCCCTAGAAAGAAGGACAAACTATATTAGCACAATGGTTCTTAAAGGATAAGGCAGACCTCTCTAGGGTTCAGAGTGAAGAGCTACTAAGAGATTTAAAACTTTTCACAAATCTTACAGGGATAAAGGTAGCATATGTGAGCCCAACATTTACACGGATTTAGAGGCTTTAACTCATGGGTAGGCAAACTAAGGCCCGAGGGTTGGATCCGGCCCAATCACCTTCTAAATCTGGTCCGCGGACGGTCCGGGAATCAGCGTGTTTTGACATGAGTAGAATGTGCCCTTTTATTTAAAATGCATCTCTGGGTTATTTGTGGGGCATAGGAATTCATTCATTTTTTCCCCTTCAAAATATAGACCGGCCCCCCACAAGCTCTGAGGGACAGTGGACCAGCCCCCTGCTGAAAAAGTTTGCTCACCCCTAAATTCAGCTACTGAAACTGCCTTTCTCTTGAAGACGTTAAATGTTTACGCTGCTCAGTTTAAGACCACTTGATGTCATGTGCCAGCTTTACATTCAGCAGTGAATTGCACAGCACCAGCTGGTCTTGTAATAACTTCTGAAATAACATATCTGATCTCCTGAATTAAAGTAGAATAGATGACATCCCTCCTCGTTCCCTAGGCTTTCCACCAAATTTTTGAATTGTTCAATTTTTCTGTGAAAATTAGGGCAATTTGTGTAGGAAAATTTTCTTGTGCCCTAGAGAGTAATCTAATCTAGCATGCTTCTTTTACTTGTAAACAAAGGCAGAAACATTGAAAGTGTCAAGATCCCCTAATATTTAGTTGCTACTGGATCCATTCATTGTTACTAATGAAACAGAACCTTTTCCAAAGGGGGGGGGCGGGAAATCAGTAGAAAATTTACTACCCCACCACTGGTCCAGTATAGGATGCTTGTTCTAAGTCTCTAGGTTAGGCCTGCTTCAAAGCAAATCACTTGCTGCCAATATGGACACAGAACTTTCTCACTGTTTTAACCTGTCCCTGTCCCTTTACCTAAGGGCAAGGTGTTATGCTGCTGTTTGTTTTTTGTATGCGCAGGGCAGACATTTTATATTTGGAAGTAGATAATCTTATAAATTTGGGGGGAGGTTGGGAAAGTGATCAAGCAAATTCATTTGCAGATGAAGCTCAGATAGCTATTTTTAGTGCCTTGATATGCACTTCAGAGGAAGGAGCTGGGTTTTAATAGTGGCATCTAAGTGAGAAACGACTTACATGGCCAGGAAGGTGGGGCTGCACTGGAGAGAACTGCTATGTGAGCCAGCAAAAGAACTGGGAGACGCTGCAAAGCCGATGAGAGACACATTTAGCTGTGTGCTGTACTGGAAGTTGGGGGTTTCCTGGTAACAGAATGGGGAAGCAAGATCTTTTGGGGTATTAATGCTTTGAGACCCTCCACCCTATGCTTAGGTTTTTAAATAAATGTGTAAATAAAACCATGACTCCACTGATCTCATTCCAAGGAAACCTGGGTAAGCACTGGAACCCTTGGGAGTGTCTCACTGCTCAAAGATTGGAGTGGCGTGCATCACCAGACACAGCTATGCAGGCAGTTTTCAGACACACCTGCCTTTGAGGCTAGTCAATAGAGAGCCCTTATTAGCATTACTGGCTTGCAGAGCAGCCAGGGAAATTTGGCCTGATTAGTGTTGTGCAGTGTGGCATCAGGAACATGGAACAGAATTAATATTCACTCTTTGCAAATGCAGTCCACACCATACTGCATAATCTAACCACCTGCTTAAATGTAGCCAGATGTTCAAAGATCAAATAAACTAGATAAATGTAACCTGCCTATGATAAGTGGTCTCACTGGGTCTTAAGTAGCCATATTGGGCTTTTGGCAAAGGGAAAGATGGAAGATGTGGACAAACCATCTAAATTACTTGTACCCTATTTTAAGCTTGCAGATTTGCTTCCTTCATCCCTGTAGTATCTGTGAAACATCATGTTCTGTCTTAATAAAAAGGCAGATATGTCTATGCCGAGCACTTATTTGGAGGCACTGCAAGTCAGCAGATCCAACAACAAAATACTTACATAGGGTCATCATCCGGCTCCCATCCCTCCAGCTCCTTAAAACATATGAAGCACTGGGCCACGTCGGGTGCATTGTCACTAGGACAGTGAACAAATCCAGCTTCTGCCATCTGGGAAGAGAGAGGGGAGGAAAGTTGTTCAACAAGTGTACATTCAACAATCACACATCCAAAGAGTTAGGGTGAGCAGTGAGGTAGGCAAGTTTGCTGCTGATACTAAATTGCTCAGGGTAGTTAAAACTAAAAGGGATTGTGAAGTCCAGTGGTACCTCTGGTTACATACTTAAATTCGTTCTGGAGGTCCGTTCTTAACCTAAAACCGTTTTTAATCCGAGGTACCACTTTAGCTAATGGGCCTTCCTGCTGCCGCTGTGCGATTTCTGTTCTCACCCTGAGGTAGAGTTCTTAACCCGAGGTACTACTTACGGGTTAGCGGAGTCTGTAACCCAAAGTGTTTATAACCCGAGGTGTTTGAAACCCGAGGTACCACTGTACTCCAAAAGGGTCTCCCCAAACTGAGTGAATAAGCAGCAAAGTGGGAAACGCAAATTCAGTTTAAGCAAGTGTAAAGAGCTCCACATTAGGGGCAAAAATTATATGTATTTCACGGGGTCCAGAGTGGTAGTGACTGACCAGGAACAAGACCTTGGGCTATAGAGGATAATCTGATGAAGGTGTTGACCCAGTGTGTGATAGCTGTGGAAAGACAAATGCCAAGCTAGGGATCATTAGGAAAATAAATCAAATTGAATTAAAAATAAAGCTGTCAATATCAAAATACTGTTTTCCAAATTGAAGGTGCAACCACACTTGGAATACTGTTTACAGTTCTGATGGTCTTGCCTCAAAAAGGATATTGAACAGCTGGAAACGGTCCAGAAAAGGGAAACCAAAATGATCAAGAGGGTGGAGCAACCTCCCTGATAGGGAAGGTCACTTTGGGGGATTTTTAGTTTAGTAGAGAAAAGGCAACCAAAAGGAGACATGATAAAGGTGTGTAAAATTATGCATGGAGTGCAGGAAGTAGATGAGGAGGCAAAGTACTTAGGAGGCAAGCTGGCTGGGAGAAATGGGTTCCCTCACCCGGTCTGGAGTGCATGAGCAGTCGGAGGCAAAGGGCCACTGGTCGAAAGTGGCGACTCGGTGCTCCTTCAGAAACTCCTCGAATCCCGGCCGAACTTGCGGACCCGCAGAAGAAGCTTCCGTCTCCATTCCTGCCACGTTCAAAACACCGCGGTCAGAACAACGGCCGAGCAAAGGATGACGGGAAATCGGCTGCTATTCGCTGAGCATGCCGGGAGTTGTAGTCCTCCCTCTTTATAAAATGCAGTTAGAGGAGAAGATAAGAGGCAAAACTGCGCACGTTTTAAAGACCAGAAACACAAGACAGGACGAACTCTTTAAAATGCCTCTATAAGGTCTCCGTTGTTCTTGCTGGAACAGGCAAATAAGGCTGTATTTCCGAAAGTTAGAGGCAGAAGAAACAAAACAAAATAATAATAATATGGATTTAGAAACCTCGCTTCCCACGTGATGGAGAAAGAAGCTAAAGACACGTGTAAAATCGTTTCACTAAAATAGGCCGCGATCCTAACTTCCTATTAAGGAGGACACACTTGGGACTTGCTCCTGAGTAAACAGACAGAGGTTGGTGGGCTTTTTCTCGTCGTAATGCACACACCCCCCCAAAAAAAAAAAATCCCCAAAATTTTGTTCAGTGGCTGTTGGAACAGAACGAGGCTGGGTGTTTGAAAGAGAAAAAGATAGTTGGGCTGCTGCTGCTGGGTGTAAGAAGTCCGCCGAGGAGCTGAAATCGAGCATTTAGGGTCAGTTTGTTTTTTTGATATACAGCAGTTGCAAAGAGAAGGTATTTTGTTAACATCAGGGAATGCCCCACCACCACTAGAATGCAAACCAACGTTTCACTTTCTATTCATATTACATGTTTTGCTAGCTAGAGGAAGAGAGGCGAACTTCGCCAGAAAATTAAAGGGACTGATCTGCATGTTTAAGCCCCATTATATTCCACGAAGATTGATCTCTGGTGAGCATGTAGTTTATGGCTGCAGTGCTTTTTTTATTACAGGACTTGGCTTAGTTGCTCTCTTTCTTGGTTTTATTATCTCTTGGCTTGCTGCTCCACTTGGATCACAGTAGCTTTTGATAGTATACTGTAGTTTGTTATGAACCACCTTCCACTGCTATAAGGAAAAGCAAGATATAAATATATTAAACAAACACATGCTTAATCATGTGTTTCAATGTCTCGGAATAAAGGTCAGCCATTTAAAAGAAATGAACAAACGAAGGTGATGTGCAGCACAAGCCTGATTTCAACAGAGCTCCCCCTCAAATATGTATAGAACGGTGTGCAGTTTAACAGTGTACTTGTATGCCACATTAAATTAAATGGGGTTTATTCCTAGGTAAGTGTATATAGGACTGGAACTTCAGATTCTCCCCGTACCCTGCTCCGGCTATCGGAATTGTGAAAATCAGCTTTAACTTGCATCTACCCTCCCACGCAGAACTTCCGGTTTTCAGATGTGCTTTGAAGTGAGGCGTACTGACATATGCAAATCAGAGACAAACCAGAGTTTAATTCCGCTAAATTAAACATTATGTTCTGCTACTCTGTATTGCTAAATGGGGCCGATCTGGGGGAGATTTTTTGCAGAGTATAAGAACACTCTGTAAAAATAAAAAGCTAAGTGTTGTATCCAATGGTGGCTTTGCACCTGCTGGTAACAACTAGTGGAAGTGCTTTCACAAGCAGGGTAGCATCTGATCCTCCTTGCACCCAGTACCTATACTGCTGGTGGACCCCCTGGAACAATACAGCATATATGGCACAGAGGAGTGCAGTTGATGGGGGGGGGTTGATGAAAATGCCTTGCAGAAGTGCTTCTGTTAGCATAAAGCCATTATAAGAAGCTGGGCTAAATACTTCATTAGGTCAGACTTGGTTCAGTGCCTGGAATCCAGAAGTCTTGGAGCATGCCCAGGCTGAAAGGAAAGCATTTTGAACTGCAAGGAGGAAGAGTGCTCATGTTTGGGTCTCACTTGTGGGTTTCCTACAGGCACCTGGCTAGTGAGTGTGTGAACCAGGATGCTGGGCTAGACTGGCCCTTGGCCTCTTCTTAGGATTTAGTTATCATAACTCTGTGCAGCACTCAACACCTGAATGCAAAAGGGGCAGAGAAAGTAATTAAACACTCATCTGATCTCCGACTGTTGACATCCCCCAATTCGTGGCACAATAATCATTACAACTGACGTTACTTGTGCAATACTTGAGATGTATTTCTTAACTTTGGCCCATTCCAAGGCAAAAGCATAACTAACCGGCTGTCGCAGCACAGTTGTTATAGCCGTTGTTGCCATGATTCCCATGATTTTCTTTTAGAACTGTTCCAGGCTGGCTATGCTCTAAATCTGCAGCTTCTTGCTTGCAGGGTCCCTGATTCAAAGACTGCATTGAGCCCGTGGGAGTAGAGACATGGGCCTCCATAGCACAAGCACAGAGTGCCACTGCTCTGACTGTATAAGGCAGTTTCGTATGGACTTAGAAGGTTGAATAAAAGTTTAGTTACTGCTGTTAGTGAAAGATGCCCATCTTCAGCTCAGGCCCTGAGAGATGTGGTGATTTATGCAGCAATTATGCCTTGCCTGTGCTCACTGATTCAGACTATCTCCTAGGGGAAGGTGATAAACTGTCACAATGTAGATGTAATTTATGCGTTGGTGTTACTTTAATGTTCTCAGCACGCTGGGAGGAACAGAGTTTATCGCAGGAGTGGACAGGAACTGTCTCTGTGTCAGGCAGTCCATGCGAAAGGAACTGTGCTCTCTCTTGAAGAGTCAATTGCCTCCAAAGCAACAAGGAATAATATGTTTCAAATTTCCGTTTCAGTAGATTTGTGTCTTCTGAAGTTCTTTCTTAACTGGATAAAATTGCAGTTGGCAGGAAGTCCATTCCCAGGGTGAAATAAAACAGCACAGCAGAGAGAGTGGAGGATTGGGGTGGGTGGGTTTGCAAGGTCAGCGATGGCCACTCATGGCTGTAGATGGGGACCCCAGGCTGAGAGTTCCATCTTGTGTCAACCTATCAGCCTCTTGAAATCATTTTCAAAATCACCTGGAACATCAAGAAAGAATATGTTTCCCTTGCATAACAAATTGGTTCAACACTGAAGCTTCTCACTCATCATCGGGAGTGTGTTGTGATTATAAAGTTGGCCTAAGAAGGAGCTACATCCCACACACTTCCCAAATTCCATAGTATTTACATAGCTCCTTTGTGTTTCAGAGACACATGTATATTCCACATTGCTGGGGTAAGTGTATGAATATTCCAGACACATGGGTGTGTCTAAATTCAGGGATTTCCCCCACCTGATCAGCACCACAACTAATGTTGAAGACCCATGTGATCAGCCTCAGCCACATTGTTGGAATATTTTCACACTAAGCTCCATAGTAATGTGAGATCACACTACAAGTGGCTCCCATGCTGTTGGATATTTGCATGACGGAGGCTTTATCGCCCATTCCATTTTTGACTTCACACTAGATTTGGACATTACATGACAATGGCAAAGCTTATACATTCAGTTATAAGGATATATGCAGAAGTCCTGTTTGTTTCAGCTACAATTAGCAGTCCTCCTTGATGCAGCATTCTGGAGATGCAGCGCATGTCATGCTCTCCCTGAAGCATTACTCCTAACACATGGCAAGTGACAAATACACTGACAGCCACCATCATTTTATTGCAGCTCATTTGCACTCCTGTACCAGCGCCTGTTGCTGGGTCCCAGCTCCTTCCAACCTAGCAGTTCAAAAGCACGTCAAAGTGCAAGTAGATAAATAGATACCACTCAGGCAGGAAGGTAAACAGCGTTTCCGTGTGCTGCTCTGGTTCACCAGAAGCGGCTTAGTCACATGACCCGAAAGCTATACGCCAGCTCCCTCGGCCAGTAAAGCGAGATGAGCACCGCAACCCCAGAGTCGGCCACGACTGGACCTAATGGTCAGGGATCCCATTCCTTTACCTGGGTGAGAAAATAGTCTTCCTGGGAGAGCTTCTCAATGACATCAAAATGATCTGTGTCTCCAATGTCCAGCAAAGAGGCACTCCAGCCAGCTGCACGCAAAGCCTATGGGCAAGCAATAGGGATTTTAACAAAACTGTCCTCACCACAGTACTTGCAAGTGCCTTTACCCTAAGAGATGCATTACTCTGAAAGATGGCAGAGACTTGGGAGGAATGGGGTTGGTGGTCTCATTGATTCATAATGAAGAGCAATGGGAGATGGGAGACCAGAAGTATGAAGCAAATATTAAGTAAATGTTTTAGGCCAGGTATTGGGAACCCCTGGCCTTCCAGATGTTGCTGAACTACAGCTTCCATCAGCCATGATGAAAGGCCAGGGATGATGGGAGGATGATTCCCCTCACCTGTCTTAGGTAGTGTTCACCTTTCACACATGCATATGTGGCTCTTTAAATACACGGGTAGGAGTGTGGGTGCACATCATTTGATTCCATGGATGCATCTCTATTGTTTGTTTTAAAAAACCACTTATATTCCACCAAATATTAAAGAGAAACTCAACATGGCGAACATCAGCCAACGCACCTCAAAGTACTCCTGGGACTGTCTGTGGAACTCGGGAGAATCATGTTGTGCCACAGTGATGAGTACCTGGCAATTTCTCCTGCCCTCCAACTTAGGCACACACCTCAAAGGGCTATTCTGTAAGGCCACCTCCCTGAGGAAAGAGACACAGACCATACAGAGATGAAAGAGAGGCAGAGTGGGCTGGCTTGCTGATAAGCCAAGAAGGCAGCCATTTCTAGGCAGAGCACAATTTTGAAAGCATGTGGGTGGCACTGTGGGTTAAACTACTGACCTGACCCTAGGGCTTGCTGATCAGAAGGTTGTTGGTTCGAATCCCCGCGACGGGGTGAGCTCCCATTGCTCGGTCCCTGCTCCTGCCAACCTAGCATTTTGAAAGCACGTCAAAGTGCAAGTAAATAAATAGGTACCGCTCCGGCGGGAAGTTAAACGGCATTTCCATGCACTGCTCTGGTTTGCCAGAAGCGGCTTAGTCATGCTGGCCACATGACCCGGAAGCTGTACGCTGGCTCCCTCGGCCAGTAAAGTGAGATAAGTGCCGCAACTCCAGAGTCGTCTGCGACTGGACCTAATGGTCAGGGGTCCCTTTACCTTTACCCCTCAAAT